AAGAAACTTGTGCAGCTAAAAGTCCTCGTCTCGGGGCTCAACGGCGTGGGCGCGGAATGCGGTTAGCTGCTGCTGCTGCTGCTCCTGCTGCTGCTGCTCCTGCTGCTGCTCCTGCTGCTGCTCCTGCTGCTGCCGCTGCTGCAGCTGCCGCTGCTTTTGCTGCTGCTGCTGCCGCTGCTTTTGCTGTTGCTGTCGCTGCTTTTGCTGTTGCTGCTGTTGCTGCTGCTGCTCCTGCTGCTGCTGCTGCCGCTGCTTTTGCTGCTGCTGCTGCCGCTGCGTTTGCTGCTGCTGCCGCTGCTTTTGCTGCTGCTGTTGCTGCTGCTGTTGCTGCCGCTGATGCTGCTGCTTTTGCTGCTGCTCCTCCTCCTGCTGCTTCTCCTGCTGCTAATGCTGCTGCCAATGCTGCTGCTGCTGCTGATGATGATGCTGCTGCTGTTGGTGCTGATGCTGCTGCTCCTGCTGGTGCTGATGATGCTGCTGCTGTTTCTGCTGTTTCTGCTGATGCTGCTGCTCCTGTTGCTGCTGATGATGCTGCTGCTGCTAATGCTGCTGCTCCTGCTGCTGCTTCTGCTGCTGCTACTGCTGCTGCTCCTGCTGCTGCTTCTGCTGCTGCTACTGCTGCTGATGATGCTGCTCCTGCTGCTGGTGGTGCTGCTGCTGATGATGATGCTGCTCGTGCTGCTGGTGCTGCTGCTCTTCTTGCTGCTGCTGCTGCTAATGCCGATGCTGCTGGTGCCGTTGCTGCTGATGCTGGTGCTGCTGCTGCTGCTGCCTGCGCACTGTAGCTGCTGCTGCTGCTGCCTGCACACTGTAGCTGCTGCTGCTGCTGCTATCTTTGTGCCTCTGCAGCAGCTGTCCAGCAGGCCTTCCGACTGACTAGAAAGCTTTAGCCCTAGCTAGCTGAAGTTAGTGCTAGAAAGGGCCTAGCTAGCTAGCTAGCTAGCTAGCTAGCTAGCTAGCTAGCTAAAAGGATAGTCAGATAGCTAGCTGGCTAGCCAGCCAAGCTCCTGCCCAGCTTGCCATCGAGCGAACTAGCCATCCAGCTAGCTGGCCAGCCAGCCCTGTAGGTGGCTAGCTAGCCAGCTAGCCAGGTAGCTAGCTAGCTAGCTAGCCAGAGAGCTATCCAGCTGGCTAGCTAGCGAGCCAGCCAGCGAGCCATCCAGCTACCTATCCACTATGTAGCTAGCTAGCTAGCTAGCTAAATAGCTAGCTAGCCACTATATAGCTAGCTAGCTAGCCACTACATAGTTAGCTAGCCACTACATAGCTAGCTAGCCACCACATAGCTAGCTAGCCACTAAATAGCCAGCTAGCTAGCCACCACGTAGCTAGCCAGCTAGCTAGCCAGCTAGCTAGCCACTACATAGGTAGCTAGCCAGCTAGCCAGCTAGCTAGCTAGCTAGCTAGCTAGCTAGCTAGCCAGATGGGTGTTGTGTGCAGCGAAGAATTTGATTCTGGCGGGCCCCAAAGTGGTGGGCCTTCATGACCCCACGCCAGTTAGAGGCAGAGACTTGGGTCTGTCTTTTTATTTATTTTAATTCATTTTAATTTATTTTTATTTGTTTGTTATTTATTCATTTATTTATTCATTTATTTATTATTTATTGTTTATATATTAGTTGTTTATTTATTTATTATTTGTTTCCTTAGTTGTTTATTTGTGTGTTTATTTATTTGTTTATTTACTTGGTTATTTACTTATTTATTTGTTGATTTGTTTACTTATTTTTTATTATTTATTTATTTATTCATTATTTGTTTATTTATTTGTTTAGTGATTTGTTTATTTTAATTAATTAGTTTATTCCTTTGTTTACTTTACTTAATAAGTTGGCTTACTTGTTTATTTGTTTATTTGTTTTATATAATTAATTGGTTATTTATTTTTCTTTTATTTGATTTATTGGTTTCGCTTATTTATTTATGTATTTATGTATTTATTATTTATTTATTTTTTATTTATTTATTTATTTATTTGCTTTCTGTCTTTTTTGTCTTTCTTTTGTCCATTTTATTTCCATATCATTTCTCTTTTATTTCCATTTTTTTGATTTCTTTTTTACCTCCATTTTATTTCTATTTGTCTCTCTTTTTATTTCCATTTTGTTTCTTTTTATTTCCCATTTTTGTCTTTTTGTGTTTTTTTAGTTTTTGGATTTTTGGTTTTTGTTTGTTTCCTTCTAACTCTTTTAGACTTGATTTT